CGACCTTAGTCGTCCTGGGTGCCAATCCGTGCACACGACCGGGGGATGGGCCCTGCAGTCGGAATCATTGCAAGAGCGTGCCTGCCTGCCCCTCTAGCACTTGGTGGCTATGTGGTTATGTTTGCATAGAGCCGGGGTATGGAGCATGCGCGTGATTCCGACTGTTAGGCCTCGCATAGGACCCTCGGATTGACTCTGGGTGTTTCACTGGTTCGTTGGCTGCCTTAGGTCATCGAGTAAGCCATGGCGAGGTCGGCGGTGGCAGGGTAGGTTAGGCCCGATCGGGAGGGTGCCGAGGCACGAAGTTGTTCTTGTACACGGAATACGTGGCGTAGGCTAGTCGGACTTTCGAATAATGCGAACTCCCTTTCGTAAGACACGAAATATAACAAAGTGTCAGTAGCTTCGCTTTAACTTCTTTCGCTCCAAGTTAGGTTAGGCTACCTTTGATACAGGTAGCACCAGTAGGCTGCGTCACTAGGACGCATGTCTGGGTCTCGATGCGTAGCCACCTCCACGTGGTGAGATCTGGTAATTGGTATCGTTTCCCAAAGAGAAATCTTTGGAAAACGATACCAAGCTAAGAGCTACGCACAAAGTTCAAGATATTTCCTAACTCATAAATTTTCTAAGTTCCCTTTGAACTTTGTCAATTTTTCGAAATTTTATAACAGAACGAATATGATTTAACTGCTTCACCTCGATTTTGATTAAACTAACTGACACCATGATGATGTTGTAAAACCAACCACTCTACATAAGAGAAAATCGACGCGAGTATTCCTAGATGTCCCCAAACCGAGGCTGACAGCATTTAAACCTGTATCGCGCCTTTGACTCCAACATCTTCGTTAAAAATACACTCGTGAAAACGAACCTATCAAAATGATCCGAGCATTTATCTCGTATCACTAATTAGCGGTACAACTATTACAGACGACAAGGCTAATCACCGTTTCCTTTACTCAAACTCCGATAGTTGCGATCTACAGGGTAAATCACCCACTTCTTGCTACACATTCGTTCACGAGTCGAGGTGTACAAAAGCATCCTAATCAGAGGTAACGATACTCGCGTCTTCCGACTCACTCTATGACAACTTAGCGGGGAGAAGCCTACAGGTCGGCTTCGTTGATGTTAGATCCCGAACGTGCTCGCAGACTACGTGGGATTTAATTACGATCCTCCTCTCGAAGCGTCTGGTTTCAAACTTCCCTATTTTACCCTGATTACAACCTACTGGGAGAAAAAGCGAGCGCAGAGTCGTTGCCTGGTCGAATCGCGAGGCAGAGGAAACGCTGAGCCCAAAGATCGCTCGAAGCCCGGTCTTTCATTTAAATCTCGTTACACCGAACTCGTGAGATTCTAAATTACGAACGAAACGGAGATCCGCGAGGTAAAAAGCGACCGTCTCCCGGTTGTTAAGGCTCCAATTATAGGAATACCAGGTGCGTGTCTAGCTCGATCATTACTCTTCGCCTCTCTTCGCCTCCCGACGACCGTGATGGCGATACTTCGGTCTAAACAGGCCATTCGCTAATTGCTCGCGTGCTCTTCTTTTCAGCGCGATCCCGATTACGATCGCGCGATCCTTGCCTCGCGGATGTTCGAACGGTGGCGGCTCGTGTAGAAAACACAGGTCGCGTTCGCGAGAACGACGTCGGGGATGAGAGGCAACTGACCGTGGAAGGCTGACGTCGGAGGATGCGGCGAAGACGAACACGAGGAGCAGAAGAAACGAGACGAAAGTCTAGTCCCGGGGGTCGTCGAAACGAGCGTGCCAGGAGGATACATTAAAGCTAATGGACCTTCTTTCGCGTAATCGACGATACCGCGGGTGGCCGCCGCGTTTCCCGCAGAGAGGCCCTTTACGACTTCATCTGGCCGATCTGCTGGGCCGTTGGAGAACGCTCGGTACCCACCGTCGATGAGCATGCTCGCGGCCAAGAGTCTATTTCGGGAACGTGCCACGTCGTTCTCCTAATGATTCGTATCAATTTACCTCCTGATTAAGCCACCCTTCGCAGTTGCCCTTAAACCCGTGGGCAATTACCTCGGATTTCCTGGCGGCTCGGCGTGAGCGTGAATCTCTGAAATTACGATGGAGACGGACAGGCAACGCCTGGTGAGCCAGGATTTAGTATCGAGGCACGATTTATTGGGGGAAAACGGCACAGCAATTTCGCGAATTACGGCCTTCACGGGTCACCACTTCCCGTACAGGGATAAGATCCCCGGGTGGACTCGGATCGATCTTCGCGCGGATGTAATATCGATCGAGAGAGAGGATCGAAGGAGAGGAGACGCGTCGATCGCGGCACTCTCTCGGTGTCCGGAGTGCCGTACGACTTTCCGACACCGTTTTAATTGCGTCCACTCTAACGGTAGCCATTCGCGTTCCGAATGCAGGTGCATTCCATCGAGGACGCCGTGGTCCGGAGACGATTCCGCTGGATCGATCGATCAAACGCTTCCTGGCCACGGGCTAGTCCTTTCGGTCCATGCTCGGACAGAGAAATGGCAATAATAACGGGATCGCGCGTGTGCTAACGGTCCCCGAGGGAGAAAGCGTTCGCTTTCTTCTTCCACTCTCCGGGGCGTTCCGTGTCCATTTTGGCAAATTGAAAGTGAACTTGACCGCACGAATCGTTTGATTAAGTCCTTTAAACTCGACATTTCCAATCGGGGGAAAAAGGAGAATTAATTGGTTCATCCAGAGTGACGTTTTTTGGGAGCCCAACTTTTCGATGCGAAATTTAACCCTTTGCGCTCGACGATTTTTTGGTTAAAGAAGGGCACGAGTTGAAAAATTTTCTGCCACAAGGCTGATGATATTTTTTAAGCAGTAAATAAGAATTCGTATAATAATTATCACGTAGAATTATTTAATTTCGATACCTCGCACACTGTTACAATATTTTAAATTTGATATATTGATATAATATCGAGCTTCGAAATTTTATCAAATGGCGACTGAAAGGCGCCTCTCAACTGTAAAGAGTTAACTTAAATTACTTGTTAGACGAATTTTGTTTAACCCCTTGCCCTACGATTTAAGATTCAACAGCGTGGTCCCAAAACACGAGGTAAACAGAACTGTCGAGTCTTCGATGTACCACGAGCCAGACTCGTGATAATCAATTTTGGCCCGAAAATCTGACCACGAGCCTCACACGTGGTTGTAGGCCAAAGAGGTAAGTCTCAAGTTTTGTTTAAATTATTATTGAAGACACAAATTTCGTTGATTTTTCAAGGGAGAAAGAAGTAATCTATCATTTATACTTTGGAAACTCGGAAGAAAGGAACCCTTTGATTTCATAGCATATCTACACGAGTGACTTACGTTGAACTCGAGTGGTGTTAGGCCTGTATCTCCTGTGTTCCCGATCCCAGGTCTCCGGATGCCTCTTCCAATCTTCATCGCCGACCACTCCAGTACCCCCGCTGCCAGCTATCCCTTGCAGGCCCTGTAGAGTCTGAAGAGCCTGAAGATTCGGGCTCAATGGTCTCCCTTTCAACGACGGTACTGGCACGTAGGCTGCACCCTCTCCAACGTACACCACCTTCGTGGAAAATAAACAAAATTGTGTGGATTAAACGAGGCACAACCCAATTCCGCAGACTCGGCCATCTTTGTCGAGCTATCGGGGGAAAAACGACGAGACGTCGTGAGACAAACGTTACAATAGACCCAGGCTGTTATCGACCGAGGTTTATCGTCTGTCTTGCTAACGATACGGTCGCGATTCCCGGAGCAGGAACGAGCGGTTAAAGAGGAAAAGGGAAAACGACGATGACGAGGAGAGGTAAAGAAGAGCAAACGATCGGCGCGTGACTAACGCGTCGTTGAGCTCGTTTCTGGCGTTGCTTCCACGATCGTGATACACCAGTGTTGGCATAGCACACGGTTCCGTCTGTCGTGCGATTCATCCTCTATTCGTTTCACGATCCCCAGGAATTTTCCTTTTTCTCCGCTCAGTTTCATCCAGCACTAGTCTAGGTGCTTTATGGGTCCTCCAGCGCGCCACGTGGTTGGCAAATATGGCTTCCGAGAGGAAAATCTCGTCCAGACGTCCAGGAAGATAGTAACTCGTAGTCTAGAGGTAATATCCGCTACCTCGAAACGGATATTTAGAAGAATCTCGAAAAGCAAGGCTCTCCGTGTTTCAATATCTATTCACGATTCTTCGGTATCTTCTTTGATCCAGAGGGTGTCAAAGAAAGGAGCAAGAGCAATGGAAGGACATACAACGCGGACGAAAAAGAGCACAATTCTCGCGCAATAAATGGTCCTACGGGAGCTTTAATCCCCGTTACAGTTACCGACTTCGTAATGGAAGGACACTCTGACACGATGTCTTGGAGGACGCTAGGCAATGCTTCGACGCTTATTTATTTTATGAATCGGGCAGAAACGAATCGAAATTGAATACGGTAAAGTCACCAGGTCATACGAGCTTTTTTCCGTCATCCACCAGTGTCCCAAGATTAATATCCACGAAATAGAATCGGAACTCGGGATAAGAGGGACAAGTTTCAATCTCAGAGTTGTCGTGGACCGTGATCTTACAGATAGCTAGGGGCCTAGCTGGAGCAGGAGTCACGTGGTCGGTGGTAAACGCCAGTGGTCGCAAAAAGCCTGCAAACAGTCATCATACGCCGATACCAGTGGAAACAATCGTATCTTCCGTCATCCACCAATGTCCCGAGATTAATATCCACGAAACAGAATCGGAGCTCGAAATAAGAGGACAAGTTTCATCTCAGAGTTGCTGGGGACTGTGGTCCTAAAAGTAGTCAGAGGTTTAGCTGGAGCAGGAGGCACGTGGTCGATGGTAAACGCCAGTGGTCGCAAAAAGCCTGCAAACAGTCATCATACACCGATACCACTGGAAACAATCGTATCTTCCGTCATCCACCAATGTCCCGAGATTAATATCCACGAAACAGAATCGGAGCTCGAAATAAGAGGACAAGTTCTATCTCAGAGCTGTCGTGGACTGTGGTCCTAGAGGTAGTCAAAGTCCTGGCTAGAGCAGGAGGCACGTGGTCGATGGTAAACGCCAGTGGTCGCAAAAAGCCTGCAAACAGTCATCATACGCCGGTACCAGTGGAAACAATCGTGTCTTTCATCATTCACCAGTGTCCCAAGATTAATCTCCACGTAACAGAATCGGAGCTCGGAATAAGAGACACAAGTTTCATCTCAGAGTTTCTGGGGACTGTGGTCCTAAAGGTAGTCAAAGATCTAGCTAGAGCAGGAGGCACGTGGTCGATGGTAAACGCCAGTGGTCGCAAAAAGCCTGCAAACAGCCACCATATGCCGGTACCAGTGGAAACAATCGTGTCGTTACACGCTCCTCCTCGCACCGATCTTTTCGCCCCTTTTTGCCTCGTGCTGCTTCCCTTGCCTGTTACCCGGCTCTTACGACCAGTCGAGATTCTTTCTCGGATTCCACCTCGTGTGTTCCCCAACCGAATCGTCCGGCCGCGCCGGTGATCCGACACGCAGCCTTCTCATCGTCCTCTTCCTCCGCTTCGTCCTCTTCGCCTCCCTGTTCTTCGTCCGCTTGCTCTCATTGCGCCGCGCCGGGAAATTATTGCTTTTCACGGATTCCACTTTTCTGGCATTTCTGGAACTCGAGCGGCGTTTATGGGCCACTAGAGTGGTTACAGCGTGCTTCCCCCCTTTGGTATCCTGTGTCTCTTGGCTTTACGGCGGGGCAGAGGATGCACGGGAGTATCTCCAGAGGTATCGTTTTGAGAAATGCGAGCGAGCTGGAACGTGCTGCGAAACGAGCTGCGTTAGGGGAAGAGGGTTAAGCCGAATAGCCGGCTTCCGAGGAAATGGATCGTTCCGATCCTCCTTTTCGGCGTTTAGGAACGTCGGAGCGAATCCTCTTGGGCGGTTTCTCCATTTCGCTAGAAAGCAAGACTCGAGCTGTGTCTTCGGCGCGACAGCTTTGGCTTTTTCGCGATGTTCCATTGCCGGGACGAAGAATTTTTGCGATTAGGGATGATTCCAAGTAGCGGCGTCATCGTAGCGTCACGTGGTCTCGGAGGCAAACCCGATGAGACGTCCGTGGATGGCGTAGTCCTTTCGAGACGAGATCATTCTCTTCCGTGGCCTGTTGTCTCTCGAGTTTCATCGTGACACGAGCGCTCATGCGATGATTAACGGTCGCGCGGTTAGGGCGTCGAAAGTCATTAGTCGAGCTATGATCGGTCAGATGAGAGCTAGGTGAACGCACCTATCGTATCTCGCCGCTTGTCCCTGACCTACACCTGTTCACCGACCAAACCCTGATTATACTATCATTTAGAGGTTTTTGCAAATTCCACGTGATCCGTAATTCCCGGTTTTTAACGATGGGAATCCTGCCGTGGTTGTACGCGATTACGGAACAGTCGGGTTCTTTGCTACATTTTATAGTCTCTTCTTTTGCGATTTGTTTCATTGTTGCGTTCGGTATTCGGTTCACTGGATATTCCGGGTAGGAAAAATGCCGGCGATTATTGCGCGAAAAAAGTGTCCGAGTTCGCAGTGTGCAGATTTATTACAAAATGGCAGATAAGCAGCAGTTTCTGGGTAAGCGTTCCGCGAGTTTAACCATCGTCGCGCGACTCACGGACACGCGTCGGTCTTTCCGTTTACAAACGAGCAATCGAGCGTGCAGAAGATTATGCGAAAATGGTCGAAAGGGATCTCGTTGCTACGTTGAAAGAATCCTTCGATTTCCTTCCACGGAAGCTGCTCTCGAGGTTCCCCAGTGAGTTTATGCGCCAGGATGTTTGGTATGGTAATACGGCTTGTTAAAGGGAGATTAACCCCTCCTACTGAAATTACGCGAGCAGCTCGTTATGAGCTTTCTACGCCAAATAACACTGTGTTTTCAGAGGTAGCATATACTTTAAAATTATTAGTACACGGAAATACATCCTGATACAAGTGAGGATAAATATACCGGGTGGTGCACAAATAGGCATATCTCCGTATCTTTTAAACTGTGCGTCGTACGAAAGAATGTCTTGAAGAAGAAACGCTATAGATTTTATAGGAAATTACGAAGGAACGCCAAATTTTGAGCTCGAAGGTAAGAACCTTTAACACTAGATTTACGGAACCCGTCAATTTGACGGAAGGGTTGCTCCAATTATACGATGGTAACAGATTTAGTTAACTTATATTAACACTGTTAATATAATATATAATTGTTTTTAAATTAAACTAATCGTTTAAAAAAAAAAGACACGTGGTTTCCTTTACCTGTCAATTTGACAGGTGTTCTCAGAAATATGTTTTAATTTTACTACTTTTATAGACACGTACAAATTGCGTGGACCACCCTATATAATTAAATTGAATTACAGCTTTCTATAAGATCAAAAGGAATTCAATTACATGGACATTATGACCAGCGAGTTAATTCTAGTGCAAGGGTAATCGAAGATAGAAAATAAACATGCACGATATTCTGCCAGTCAGAATTACTCTACTACGATACTCACGGCATCATGGTCGCTGGCCTCGTGAGTCAAAGCTTCTCTCGTCTCGTTATGAAGCGCATCGTCCTCCTCCGGACCAGATCCACTTCCGGCCCAATAGTCCTCGGTCGTCTCGTCCAGCACGGAGTCCTCGGCATTTCCGTCGCCCTCGCCATTCTCGTGACCCGTTGCCTTGAAAATTCACGTTTACTTTTAGCCTCCGAGACACACCTCCAACCCAAGTCATTCCTGTAACAATCTACCTGACATCGAACCGTTGCCACCGTCAGCAGCCACACGATCCCGTACCTGAAACAAGAACGAGGAACCTCGTTACTATCCAACTCTGCATTCCCGAATCCTCCAATTCCACAAGCAAACCAATCACCTTTGATTACCAATGTGAAACGAGAACAGAGATAAGGATAAAATCGGAAGGATAAAATAGATAACACGTTCACTGCCATGGGGGTCACCGGTGACTGACACTCACCTTAGCGGTGGCGCCACGGGGGTAAAAATACATAAGTAGGAAGTAAAAATACATAATTAGAGTAAATATCGATACTGATAAATTTTGAAATAGTACCATTGTTACTATAATGGTTGGAAGAAATTAATACCATACAGAACATGCAAAAATAATTTTATTTATACAAAGAAAAGGTGAACCAAAACAGTCGGCACAATATGTCGACACTTTTTTAGTGCAATTCTTTGCTCTTATTCTTCCTAGCTGATTTGAATTATTTTCATAGCACACTTTGCAAAATCGCCTTACATTTTGCACACTTCCAGATTTCTTTTTAAATTCGTGACGACGTTTTTACTGTACGAAATTGCTCGATGAAATGCAATCTTCGTGATCAGAATATTTCACTAAATACATCGCTAACTGCATCCTAAAATCGGGAATTGAAATAACTGATAATAGCAAAAATGTTCTACAGCGAGGCGGGGGTCACCGGTGACCCCCACTACGAAAAATACATTTAACGCGATTATAGAACTCACCTTACCTGTTGTAAATAATATTTCAACGTAATATGCATCGCATAATAAAATATTCATGTTGGCGCGATGGGCAATCCACGTAAAATGCGCGTGGCAGTCAACGTGTTAAGGATAAAATATGGAAACTGCGAAGGTTACAGGAGAGATTTCTAGTTGACACACGTTTGCAGGCGACTCGTTTTCCCAGTTGCACGTATGGGTTTGCCAAAGAAAGCGCAGGTTCTCCGTGATTAGCCAAGGGTAGCCGAGCAGCCTGAGAACGTGGAGCCGCCTCCTCGAGGCGCACGTCCGTTCACGCGGTAACAAGCCGCGGACCGACGCGAATTCGCGATAATGACGAAGGACAACGGTCGGGTGGAATCGCGGGAAACCATAATCGGATCATTGCCACGCGTGACTTGGCCTAATCGCGCCGCGGGATCAAGGGAGTCCTCGTCGATGCGTCAGCGAGCGTACGCCACGCATACGGAACGCGTCTCCTTCTCGCTATTCGGCCCGAGAAGCTGACGAGGCTGCCTCGTGGTTCCCAGAGAGTTCGCGATGCGACGTGAGCGAGCTGAGTCATGTTCGCGGGAGTAGGATGCCGCGCGATGAGCATCGAGATGAACAGGACGATGCTCGATCTCGTAGAAGACGTAACGCGTTGCGATCCGTGTCAGCTCGGTTCTCATAGAGCGAACCGATGAATTCGTTCCTCCCCTTTTGTTCTACCACTTCCTCCTTCTCCAGCCTTTGTCTTACCCGTCTGCCCCTTCTACTTCCTCCGTTGCACTTCATCGACTTCCTTTCTACGACGCTGATGTAACGGGTCTCACTCTTTGACATCGATCCCGCCGACTCTAACCCTGCGTGGTTTGTCTCGAGAGATTGGAGAGGATGACTCAGTTTTGATGCTTCGATGGATGCAACATGATGGAGCAATGCAGAGCGTGTTTGGAGATTGAATTAACGCGGAGAACGAAGCACCTAGGTACCAATTGAATAGATGACTTGATTATTTGACGAGGCTGTAATTAGACTCTGAAGTCTCTCTCTGAACATTATCCTTGATTTTAGTAACAGTTGATCTTGGGATTTCCCGTTCATTTACCTTCGCAAGCATATTCTTGCTCGTTTATCGATACACCGTTTCTATGTTCCACTTATCGAGAACGGCAGATGTGCAAACGGATTCTCATCTCAGACACTCCAAACTCGGATAAACTTCGTTCACACCGGTATCGTTGTATCAAACACTCGAACACTCTTCACGGGCTCGTCACGAGTACTGTCATTCTAGCAATTGTTCACGAGGACCTCTGGGGACGTTGGAAAGGGGCCATCGACGATCGGATAGAGCGGACTCGGCAAGTCGGACTCGCGATCGAGTAGGAAACGCGTGGAATTCCATGTCTTCGTGGTATGTCTGACAAAAGTTCCAGTTCATTTGAGATCGTTTGGAAAAAGTGACTCCGGAAAGTCGGTTTTTCTGTTGGTCCGCTCTGTCTGCCGATAAACACACGTTCGCGCTGATCACTATGATAAAGGCGGTAATGAGGCGGTGGGAACCGGCGTAATTTCTGTTATTGAGATAAACGCGCGTGCACGTTAACTCCACCTAATGACAGGGGTGAGGTTCCTTTCTGGGCTGTTAATTGCCAGGCTGCAGGTTCTCGCGGAAATCGACAGCTTCCCACGAACGGGAGACCTCGATTAAAAACGCGGCACGTGAAATCAATCTTCGCAACGAACCAACCCTCAACGTACCACGATGTTAATTATTTCGGCCAATCCGAGGGTACATTCTTCTAAACTTCGTACTTTGCGACTTACGTTCCGCTAGCGCGTGCCATGATCAACGAATTCGATCTTACGTCGAACCCCTTTGTCCAGTCGCGGCGAAGAATAACGCTTATAATTAATTGAGACAGGAAATTCTGGGAAATTTAACCGGAAGTCCAAGACTGACAATGTTTGCGTTAGGCCTTGTTTAAAAATCAGGCTCCTCACTGCGTCATGTTTGGCTCAATTTTCTTACCACGAGGCTCGCACGATATTCTAGACAAAGGACTTAACATGCTTCTGTAAGGGAACCGCTGATGGTCGAACCCTGGCAGTCGTCGACTTTGATGGAGACGACTTTGCGTTTGCAATCGCTCTTAATCGTCGTGAAACGATCATGCGTGTCTCCAGTCAGTTCATTGAAGACTCTCGATCGATTAAGGAATTGATGTGTGAAGAATAAAATTTTGGAGACAAGAAACCTTTCATTTTAACTCGAACCCTTTAATTTTAAACCCTTCAACCCCCTCGAACCACACCTACTTCACTTCGTAGTTCCCTATTTAATTTTCCACAAACGAAGTTCAAAGGTTACCTCGAGAACATAAGCGACGGCGTGGCTAACAAGCTCAGCAGTCCCTACTCGAGTTCCCCAAAAGGACACCGGAAGTGGAGTCCGTTAAGAGTCACGAAGCATTTCGTTCAGATCTCCCGCACAATTCTCCCCTTCCTCCAGCAGAAGTTCAAAGGTTAACTCGGAATCATAATCAACGATCACCGCTGACAAGACCGGAAGAGACTCCGGAGTTTACCTAAAGGACACCGGAAGTGCACATCTGCTTGAAACTTTTCGTACAATTTCCCTATCCACTTTCCTCGCACAGAAGGTCAGAGGTTAACTCGGAATCGTTAACAAAGATCACCTCACCGCTGACAAGATCGGAGGGGACCGCGAAGTCTACCGGAAGATGACCGGAAGTGAGGGCGATAAAAGTCACCGAAGCTTCTCGTTGATGCGTTTCAACGGATCACCGCGTTCGTTCCGCGTAATTATTATTTGCTCGCTGGCGGCAAGACTAAACAGAGCGGAAGGTGTCAGGCGTATGATGGCCGGCATCGACAGTGCGCGTGCACCAGGTCCTCCAGGAGGTGGCCGTTAATCAGCCGGGGTCGAGCGATCGCTCGCGCGGACTCGCGCTGGCGTGGGCGGCCGCGACGAATCGCGAGCGATACGTTAATCGTTGGACGGCGATGTTTCGACCTGCACGAGGAGCATCGATCACCGATCGACGTCCCGGCAAAAGCTGTTCGGAGCGAACGTTAATTGCGCCCGGGATCCCTGTGAGAACGACGAGAGCGAGCGCAGGTAAATGATTAATCTCGTTTGGGTCCGAGGAACTACCTTGTCGGATGTTGCGGGAAAAAGTACATGATATATTTAAAGGAAGGGACGTACAACTGTGGCAACGGCGAAAGTATTTCGCCCGGATGGCTACTTGGACAAAGTACCCCTGGAATGTTGGAATTTTTCAGCAGCAGGGAGTTTGGGACTATTTACTCTGACAGGGATTGGTCGGCTAATTGAGTCGCTTGGCCGAAGTGGTTAACTCGACTCTCTGAATTTTCCGCAGTTTTAGTTCCGAGGAGCTTTGTATTAGGGTGTCCCATAAGTTTCTTCCCTTTTTTTTGATGCGAAATCAATACACGATTTTCGTCGTTTAAGGTTGATTTACTGTGTTTTATATGAACCGTTCTGCTTTATTGCCTTCTTCCATCTTTCAGGAAGCCTCATTATGCCCTCTTTCCAAAATTGTTGAGACTTACTTGCAAAATATTCATCGAGGTGCGTTTTCATTTCGCTTTCGGATTTCTGACATTTATTATACAGAAACCCTTACAGTTTGATTGGGACGTTCTACCTCATCCTCCATATTCACCAGACCTTGCCCCATCCGATTATTACTTGTTTCTCTCGTTAAAAAATTCTCTCCGTGATAAATGTCACAAATCCGAAAGCGAAATCAAAACGCACCTCGATAAATATTTTGCAAGTAAGTCTCAACAATTTTGGAAAGAGGGCATAATGAGGCTTCCTGAGAGATGGTAGAAGGTAACAGAGCAGAACGGTTCATACATAACACAGCAAATCAACCTTAAACAACAAATATCGTCCATTGATTTCGCATCAAAAAAAGAAAGGAACTTATGGGACACCCTAATATAACTATATTATATATAAATTTTTACTTCTTTTTCTTCCTGGAATTAACACTAGATTCACGGACGCTATCTGTATACCTATTTCTAAGGACACCTGTCAAATTGACAGGTAAAGCAAACCACGTGCCTTGTTTTCAACGATTAGTTTAATTTAAAAACAATTATATATTATATTAACCCTTTGCACTCGGTGATTATTTTCGTTACAGAGAAATAGCAATTCAAAGACTTTCTGCTGTAACGTCGACGATATTTTTGGAACAGTGAATAAAGAATCGGGTATATATCAAGGCTTGAAATTATTTTATTTCGAC